CCCCAAAACCCCAAAACCCCAAAACCCCAAAACCCCAAAACCCCAAAACCCCAGAAGGTATGAGATTCATTGATAATAGAAATAATTTAGCGCACAAGATGGATCTACTCCTTTATAGATCCCAGATCTAGTCCTTTCAACTGGTTTTTGTCCATTGGATAAAAAGAGTTCCTTTTCTGTCCAATAATATTCTTCACATTCAAATCTAAATATAGAAATAAATACTTACGATTAGAAGGCTGCAGAGTCTCAATGTTGTTATCTTCTCCAGGATGCTCTCTGATACTCACCAGACTTGGTGCTTTCTGGATGCTGTGGATACTCTGCTTAGAGCCGAACCTTCCAGGGAGGTTTTTAATGAGATCCAGTCTCACAAAGTGAGAGTTTCTTTTCCTTCCAACGTTTGGCAGCTAAATATTAGATTCATGCATATCAGGAACGTAAAATTTCCAGAAATAACTCGATAACTTAGAACGATATTTAAAAGGGTAAAAACTCTCGATTACTAACACTCTAAATTTCAAGCTTAGAGACTGGGAAGAATCGTCTTCTTAGCATCTCTAGCTTAATTTGGCTATGTGGACTTCTTACTTGCTTCAGCTTATTAATGGAAGAATTTCGGGAAGGATTTCTGATACTCAAAATCGAACCTTCTCTATCGGTATTCACTTGATTGTTATCCGTTATTTCTGACCCATTAGTTTGCATTTTTCTACAATTTTTATTTTATAGCCTACCTAAACAGCGATATGCTGTTTTCCCTTTGATTTTGATTATGTCTGAAATTATGAATAGAGTATGGGAAGAAGGGAAGCTCCTGCGACTCGATTGTCATGATCCCATCATTAATATGTTGCGAGTCAGTATAAGCATCTCCCATCGCCTCTGAAAACACATGGGTCTGGTTCAGTCGGTCACTAAGTTTATTTATAAAACTTATTTTGACTTTAAGCTGTCAATTCTAGTTGGTTTGGTACGATTAAAATCATTATTTTCCTGGATTATCTTGGGAAGATCCTGCCTTTTAAACACCTGAAGTTCAGATCCATTTATGTAATCGTTCAAAATCTGCTGAATGCTTCTATTCGGTTTTGGGGCATTCATATCTGTCATTCTCTATTGGTAAACTGAGGTAACTACCGATTGCTGGTCATTCCACTCACTCTCCTCCTCTGGAATATCATTGAATATGGGTGGACGTATCACAGACACTCTTGGTTTTGTCGAAGGTTTAGTACTAATGGCTGGATGAATGGCTATGTATTATACATAAGGAAATACAGTCAAGCTCTTCAATAATTTTCATCCCTGAATTTCTCTCAATTCTGATCTTCCCATTTACAAAGTCTATTCTTTCTTCATCAACTAAATTTCCTATAGTTCAGTCTCAATTTGAAAAGTTAAAATTTTAGCAAAAACTGAAAATTTTTAAGTGAAAATTGGCAAAATTACCCATTTGGAAGCTCATCCTTGACGACCGACAGTCGGAAGTATCGTCTATCATTTGCTCAAATTTTTGATACAGCGCATCCATTGTTGCAACTGATCAGAACAGCTAGATATTATGGCTCAAGGTGTACCTTGCAGACTCTTGCAACCTTTTCCAGATCTTCTAAGTCAAAATAGTCGAAGACTATATTACACTGATTATGATATGGCTTTTTAGTATTTAATCAAATTTAGAGCTAAATGAAGCATGGTAATCAGGCTCTTTGATACGGTACAATCCTGTGTTAAGTCATTTGCACCTTGTTTGTAAACTTAAGAGCAATATTTATACAACTAGAGTCAATCAACTTACTATTTATATTAACACAGGATAGAGCTTAATCTGTTTCCTGTTTTTGAGTCTAGATCGTCCCTTGATTCCTCTAAAATGTATTCAGTAAAGTTCATTTAAGTAGATCAGAAGCCTGGATTCATTAATAATACGCAGGTTAGCCTTTGAACTTTGTAATTTTGGAATGTTTCGGTAAAAGCATAAACAAATTGTACTAAATGTTCGCCATAAAAATTTTAAATTATTACTAAAAATATTTTTTTATAACTTTGAAGTTATAATCCTGAGCGATCTTGGATAGGCAAATGTGGAGATAGTAATTGGTTTGACATCAGTGTTTGAGGAAGTTTAAAGATGAGCAAATTGTACTAAATTTTAATGCAAATGAGAGTTATCTTGGTAAAGCTCTCTTGCTTAAAGCCCTACTTCACCTAATCTACCAAGATGCTTGCTAAATTACCATATATAGGATAATTTCTAAGAAGAACTTGGAGCAAATATAAGACTTTGTTTGAAACAATTAAATTTGCTCCATACGCTACTCACTAAATCAATGTAGGCACCTTCATCTAAATTAGCATGCTGCAGCAGTCCTATGAAGCACAGACCTTATTGCAGCTGCTCCTATATCACATCTTATAAACTATAGAAGCTTTTATCACGAAATATTTCGAAACTTTTTGAGTCTTGTTCAGGCTGTAATTAGCCCTCTAGCTTGCCCTAAGCTTCAAGGCATAAGTAATTCAGATAGGTTGTAAATACACAGTCGAATAATGCTCATTTGAATGAATGAATAGAGAGTAAGGGTAGGAAATCAAATCAAATTTTTAATAGCAAGCCATTTTTTTATGTTTTCACCATCTTTAAAGGTAGACGGTCATTTAATCTTTACTACCAGACTAAGAAAGTATAATTTCTTTAAGTTGACAAATAAAGAGCTAAAAATAATCTAATCCCACCTATTTTGTATGAACTTCCGTTTTTATTGAGCATTAAACTTTTAATTTCGGAACTTTTCCTCTAAAGGCCAGAAGCAAAATAATGGATGATCACTACAGCATAGTTCTTCCTTCATGTTGCAAGACCATTAACTAAAATTTTGGACAACCAAATTGCCTAAATCGCCATAATATAATCTCTAATCCTAACAAGTTGAATCATGAGGGAAACCTTATTAATATTTCCAGAAGTGAAATAGCTTACCTTTGGCCGGGATATTTCTTAGGATTAGCAATCGTAGTATGAACTACTGACACTCTATACATATTAAAATCCTTTCTCCTATAACTTCCCCATATCCCATAACTACTACAACCCATTAAGTCGATATTACTTCGCCTTTATCTTAATGCTCTGGCTGGTACAGCACCCACCCATTTCTTTATAATATTTCAATTATACAAGTTAGGGAAGGGGTTTTGGGGTTTTGGGGTTTTGGGGTTTTGGGGTTTTGGGGTTTTGGGG